GGGGCGCCCCGAACGATCCTGCCGGATTCCTGTTGGATTTCTTGGGTTTCCTGAGGATCCTTGAGGATTCCTAAAAGGACCCCTGAGACTCTCGGGTGATGCGGAACGGATTCCCCGACGATTCTGAACGGATTGCGGGAGGATCTGCGAAGGTTCTTGAAGGGCGGAGTCCTGAGGGGGCCCCGAGGGTCTCGAAGGATTATTTAGGGTATCTTGCGGTCTTCTCGCAGATCGCATTTTCAGGATGCTTGTGGAGTCTGCAAGGGTCGCTGGGGGTTCCTGAACAGACCCGTATGCTTCTGACCAGAAGCCTGAGGTTTTCCGAGAAGATTCCTGAAGGATCAAAGACGATCATTGAAGGATTCCAGGAACGATTGTGTTGGTCTTGGGGGGTGTTGAAGGATCCCCGGGGGTTCTGTGGGCCCTTGAGGATGCCTGAGAATGCCTGAGGGTACTTGAAGGATTTCTTAAGGACCGTTGCGGTTCCCTGAAGATTACTGAATGGTTCGCTGGGTTCCAATAAGGATTGCCGAGGGATTCTTGCGGAGCCCCATGGATTCCGTAGAGATCCCCAGGGGGTCCCGCACATCCCTCGCGGTTTGCTGTGGGGTCGTGACGACTATTTAGGATTTCTTGGGGCTCGCGCGGATTGTCGCCGATTTCGAAGAGGCCGCTGAGTTCCCGATCCCCAGCGATGCCCCGAGATTCCGTGACATTCAGATTCCTTCGCTCTCTTCCGGTATCCTGGTGGATTCTTGAGGACAGACATCAGAGGATCCTTGATGGAATCCTGATGGTTCTTGAAGGATTCGAACGGGTTCCTCCAGAATCCTGTGGGTTCCCGAGGATTTATGGAGGGTTCCTATCCCCGAAGGACTCCTGAAGGATTCTGGGAGGATTCCAAGAAGGTTTCCTGGGGGAGCCGTGAGGATCTATCTTTGCCCGACGGGTTCCCGGATAGTCTTCAGGACCCCCGGTGTTCTCGAGCATTTCGCAAGGATGCTTGGGGATTCCTGAGGGTCCCCCGGGCGTCTTAGGGATTCGCCGGCTCTTGTTTCTTATTGACGTTCAAGAACGTGCAGTACACGCGGTGTGAAGAGCCAGGGCCCGTGCACCGCGCCGCCATGGCAGGACGCACGTTGCTCCCGCGCGCACCGCTTCATAGCATTCGATTTTCCTAACATTCGTCGGGGTGGCGCCTGTTGTGGGCGATCCCAGACAGCTACGAACAACTGGCGGCACTGACGCGCATCATCACCATCATCACCATCATCACGTGGACGAGGCCCCGTTCGTTCCACACGGGGTTCAGCGACTTCCATCTACTGAGGAATCTTCAGTTGGGAATAGTTGATGAGGGATTCTTAGCAGGGAAGGCTTGAGTCGCGAACCCTTTGCAGGGAATCTGTTTTGAGGAATGTGAAAAGGGAAATCCTTAGTATCAGATTTCTTATCGGGATGCCTGAAACATAAAAAACACGTCCGGAGTTTCATGACGGAATCCTTAGCAGGGGATTCTTGGTAAGGGGGCCCCATCAGGAATGTTTTCGTATGGCGGTTTGTTTCAAGTATCCTTATTATAGAGTTTTTAGTGAAGGAAGCCTTACGCGGGGACTTGTACGAGGGAATTTCTGCTGGGAAATATGTGAAAGGGAAACCATGGCAATAATCCCTTAATAAGGAAACCTTAGTACGGAATCCTGAATCGGGGCTTCTGAATAATGTATGCTCAGTACGGATTGTTTCGTAGGGAGCACCAAGGAAGGAGTTGTCGGCGAAGAGTTCGTGATGAGTCCTCGATAGGGAATCGCTGGTAAGTCATTCGTCGTAATGGATCCTTCATAGGAAATCCCCACGGTGGACTTCTTAGTGAGGCCCCTGTCTAAGAATCTTCAGTCGAAGGGAACCCTTGATAATGAATCCGTTTTTCAAGGAATCCTTATTAAAGACTCCGTAACCAGGTTTCCTTAGTAGAGAACCTTTTATTTGGGAATCCGTAGTAAGGAATTCTTCGTAAGAAAATCTCAGTAGGGGATACTTAGCAGGTAACCCACCCTTAGTGGGGAATCCATAGCATGGGCTACTTAGTAAGCGTTTTTGGCTCGAGAATTTTCGGTTGGATCCCACCGAAAATAGTTCTTTTTGAAGAAACCCTTAATAAGGAATCCTCAGTAAGAAATCCGTAATGGGGAATCCCTTGTCAGGGAAATTGGGGAAAGATTTCGGGGTCATTCGTCCTTAGCAGGGAACTCTTCGTAAGGAAACCTGAGTGAAGGATCCATGCCAGGCAATTTTCAGTTAGTGTTTCTGATTGGGGAATCCGTGGTGAGGAACCCGACAGGAATCCTAAGAAATCCATGGCCCAACAGATTTCCCAGCAGACCGTCGCTTCGGCCGCGCGGACATGCATCGACATCGGCAAAATCCCAATGATACCCCCATTGTTCTTTCTGCAGAATTCTTTCAGTGGGATTCACACAAGGATTCCGAGGCAGTGCCGGTGTCGGTGCCGGTTTCGGGGGGGTCGGTTGGCGGGGGTCGCGGGCCCACGGGTCGGGGAAAAAACGTGATTAGGTGCACCGTGGATCGGGCCTGCAGTGTGACTGTTGACCTTGTCGATGTTGTCGTCGTCCCACTCGCGACCCCGCCCGCAACCCACCCGCGACCCACCCGCGACCCACCCCGCGTCCGCCACTTCTTTCTTATCCGCATGTGCGGGATGCTACAGTAACCGCGAGATGATTTTAGTTTTGAGGCCCTCCCTTGTATCTCTCGGCGGGGAATCTATTCCGCCCCTCCTTCTCCTCCTCACCCTCCTCCCTCCGGCTCCTCCTCCTCCTCATCATCCTCCTCCTCTTCCTCCCCCTCCTCCCCCTCATCCTCATCCTCCTCCCCTCTTCCTCCTTCTCCTGCTCCTCCTCCTCGCCCTCCTGCTCCTCGTCGTCGTCGTCGGCGGCGTCGGCATGGGCGTCGGCCTCGTCGTCGTCGTCGTCGTCGCGGTGGAGGTTATTTTCCCTCTATTGTTGGGCGGGCTGGGTAATGTTGGGAGGCTTTTCCTCCCAGGGAATGAGCCATTGTGGGCTACCCCACAGGCGAGAGGATTTACGAACCTCATCTCATCATGATTGCAATCGGAATCAGTGATTGTGGTTGTAATCGTGGTTGTAATGGCGATTGGGATCCCGGTTGTAGTCGGAATCGTGGTCGCGTTTGCAGTCGTAATCGAAGTCGTAATCGTAGTCGTCGTCGCGGCGGAGGTAGTGTTTTTCTGTTATTGGGCGGGCTGGATAATGTCGGGGGAAATCCGTTGTGGGCGATACCACACGCGGGAGGATGTGTGAGCATCTTCTCATGAGGATTGCACTAGGGATCAGTGGTGGTGCCTGTAGCCGTGATTTTAGTCACGGTTGTAATGGTGATTGTAAATGTGATTAGATTCGCGATTGTATCCGTAATTGCAGTCGTGGTTGTAGTCGTAACCGTAGCCGTGATTTTAGTTGGTGTCGTCGCGGCGGAAATTACGTTCCCTCGATTGTTGGGCGGGCTGGATCATGTTGGGCGGTTTTTTTCCCAGGGAGTAAATCATTGTGGGCTACCCTGCACGCGAGCGAATGTGTGAGCATCCTTTTCATGAGGATTGCAATATGGATCAGTGGTTGTGGTTGTAGTCGTGATTGCAGCCGTGGATGTAATTTCGTATGTAATCGTGAACATTGTCGCGATTACAGTCGTAAACGTAGTCGTGGTTGTGGTCGCAATCGCAGTCGTCGTCGTCGTCGTTGTTGTTGTGGTGCGGCGGGTGCCGTGGAGAAAGATGCATGTTCTATTATTGATCGGGCCTCTTTGCATCATTAAGGTCGCCGAGCAGATCATTAGTTTCCAGCTTTCGGGGGGTTCTAAACACCTATCGGGGTTTGTAGAAGGTAGATCCCTGATGGAACTTACCCCTTTGAATGTTCACGAAAAAATGCTGATTCCAACATGTCCCAAATCCTGACCCAATGATCCCATTGCGATTCCACGTGCGGAACAATTTCCCCAAGGCCGTCCTGATGTGTTTGCCCGTTGGTGATCCCGGGTCTTTGCATTTCAGAGGATTTTTTTGCCACGGCGAAACAGGGGCAGCGCGTAGAGCAACTAACCGCGCCGATTGGCGTGGCCGAGCCATCGGGAAACGCTTTTCGAGACGCGCCACCAGCTGCTGCTCAATGTCCCTGAGCGACGCGTCTCTGCGCAAGCTGGCTTCCATCCAGGGCGCCCGCAAGCGCTCAGGCGCTAGCGCAGTATTCTGCCGCGGGGCTCTGTCCTGAGAGTTTGCCGTGGCACGCTGACCCCCGAGTTCTCTGCTGAGCGGCCCTTCGATCTGGGAGCCCGCTGCCATTAGCCGTTCCTGCATGGAGGTCAGTGCTTCTGCCAATATTTTTTGCAGCTTGCGCCTGGCAAGCCCCAAGCCCTCACCGGACAGAGAAATTTGCTCAATGCAAAGTTTATTTCGGTAATCCATTCATGTCTTTGAATAGCGCGCGTCTGTTCCGTGTCAAGTTTGATGCCCATGTAATGCGGCACGCGCCTCCCTTGCGCAGCACTACCCCTCATATGTATGCTTCGTGCGTGTGACGTATGTTACCGACGGCAGGCGATGCCCTCGCGGAAATTGGGGCGTTGTGCAGCTATTCGGAGTGTTTTGCGTTTGAGGGGTTTCCCCATTACTTCCATCTCTCTTTTTCTCTCTCCCTTCAGCCTCTTCTTCTCCCGCTTCCATTTGGCCCAGTACGCCCTTTCGAAAGATCCCAGGACCAGGGGGTCCGTGAGGGGCGAAGCCCACTCCGCGCCCTCTTGCCAGGCTGTTTGCCCGTCTTCATATTTGATCGCCAGGATTCCGCAGCAGTCGCTGCACTTCGAGACGCGCCACTCTCGATGCCCACATCAAGCCATAAACACCCCCCTTCTACCGCCTCGTCCCTCCCCGTCCCCACGCCTGGTCACTCGCCTTCGCCGAGGCCCCCGTCCAGTTCGTGCACGTATCCGGCCCGGCGAACAGAGTCTGTAAGGGGAAAAGTTTGTGGACGGGCAAGGCCGCGGATGAGGACGCGCATGACGCAAGTGATGAGAAGGATGACTACAACGAGGGAGGAAAAGGAGGACAAAGAGGAGGAGGAGGAAGAGGACCAGTGCAAACCCAAGACTCGTCGACCATGTTGCAAAAACCCTCCCCCAAGTTTCCTCATCATATCCCCCTGCAAGGGTTCACTTTCACTGAGGGAAGCGTCCCGTTGGAAGGCAACCGTATGAAGTCCCAACATCGCGAATTCATATAATTGTTGTGCCCTACAGTCCGACATCGTGCTATAACACTATTTCCTGGGATGTGAATTGTGTGAACCCTTGAAACTGCTGCAAACTTTGAAAACCAATGTGCGCGACGCTAATGTTGCACTTTTGAAAAGGAATCGCCCTCCATCCATGAAATTGCTGCCATTTGTGCGACGAAATGTGCGCGGCGCCAATGCGAATACCACTGCTTGAAAGCAGCCCGCCCTCCATTCGTGAAACTGTTCCACATGTTGAAAACGAATGTGCGTGGCGCTAAGGCAAGCCACATTTTGAAAGCGCCCGCCCTCCATCCGTAAAACTGTTGCAAATTCTACGCTTCAGGATCGTAAATGGTGAGCATGTCTCAGGCGAAATGCCCAGCCCGTCCTCTCGACCGCTTTCGGGATGTGACAGGGAGGAGTTATTGAATCGCTTTGTTCATTCCGCCGGCCCATACTTGCGCGCCGTTGTCGACTGACCGAGTGGTTTTTCGCAGTGCGGAGCTGCTGGGGCGGCGTTCGGCATATGGACGGTAAAGCAGCTCCTGTGGAGCAGCTTCGTGGCGATTGGTTTGGAGCGTCTTGGGAGGTGTCGGGAAGATCGTCGTTGTTCACTTGGCTTGTAAGTGTTTGCTGCTTTATGGGGCTTCAGGTGGCTGCGTGTGGGGCTTCAGGTGGCTGCGTGGGGGCTTTAGGATAGGAGGATGAGGAGAAGGGGTAAGAATACCATGGGGGAAGAGGAGGATGATTGGGGGGAGCGTAGAAATGTGAGAGCATGAGGTTCATGACGACGACGATGAGGATGAGGGTAATGATGAAGGTGACGATGATGATGAGGAGGAGGAGGAGCAGGAGGATAATGATGTTGATGTTGAGATTGTTGATGATGATGATGCTGATGATGATGATGATGATGATGATGATGATGATGATGCTGACGATGCTGGTGATGGTGATGATGATGGCGATGATGATTAGTCTTCTGCTGCTGCTGCTGCTGCTGGTGATGATGATGATGATGATGATGATGATGATGATGATGATGCTGATGCTGATGATGATGATGATGATGATGATGATAACGATGATGATAACGATGATGACGGTGGTGATGATAATCACTGTTGTATTCCTCCATACCGAAATTGCGTTCGAAGAGTTTTCGGCCCATCCTGCCATTGTGCGTGGTTTGTGGGATGCTTCTTGGGGTTGGGGTTTCTTCGGGAACGCGTAGGGAATTATGTATTCTTGCTTATGGGGGCTCTCTCGGGAGGCTTCTTGGTGGACGCTGGGGGAGTCTTGAACGCGTCGCGGGCCGTCTGGAAGCGTTTGGCTCATGGGGACTCGTTCTGGAGGCCTCTCCGTGGCCTCTTGGGGACTCTTACACGCGTCGGGTCGTTGGCACTTGCTTGCGTGCTCGGTGGGGCATTTTGGGGCCCTCCTGGGGCCGCTTGGGGGCCTCTTGGGGGCCTCCTGAGGGCCTGTTGGGGGCGTCTTGGGGTCTCTTAGGGGCCTCTTGGGGACTCTTGGGGCCTTCTGAGGGCCGAGAGCTCGAAATGTTGATTCGTGTTCCCCCCCTGGGACCTCTCTTGGGGCGTTCTTGGGGCCTGCTTGGGCCGTCTTGGCGGCCTCTTGGGGGCCTCTTGGGCCCTCTTGGGGCGGTCTTTGGGGCCTCTTGGGCCGCCTTGGGGTGTCGGGAAGCCGAAAGGGCGGAAACGCCCAAATCTGTCCAAAACCTAAGGGAAAGCAATGCATTTTGCCTCTTGGGGCCGCTTGGGGACCTCCTGAGGGTCTTTTGGGGGCGTCTTGGGGTCTCTTAGGGGCCTCTTGGGGATTCCTGGGACCTTCTTAGGGCCGAGAGCTCGAAATGTTGATTCGTGTTCCCCCCCTGGGACCTCTCTTGGGGCGTTCTTGGGGCCTGCTTAAGCCGTCTTGGAGGCCTCTTGGGCCGTTTCGGAGCCCTCTTGGGCCGTTTTGGGGCCCTCGTGAGGGCCTCCTGTGCCCTCTTGGGGCGGTCTTTGGGGCCTCTTGGGCCGTCTTGGGGTGTCGGGAAGCCGAAAAGGTGGAAACGCCAAAATCTGTCCGAAGACCTAAGGAACAGCAATGAATTTTGCCTCTTGGGGCTCTCTTGAGAGTGCTCTGGGAGGCCTGTGGGGCCGTCTGGGGGCCATATTGGGCGTCTTGGAGCGATCTTGTGGCATCTCGGAGCTCTCTTGTATCATCTTGAGGGGCTCTCGGCGGCCTCTTGGCATTTCTTGGGGCTCTCTGGACGGCCTCGAGGGCGGCGCCCAGCCCGAGTCGCCCGGGACCTGCCCGGGGTATTTTTCTTCCAGGGGATCCCCAGGTGCCGCCCCGCGCGCGCGAAGTAGAATGATTGTAAAGCAGTTACCGGAGATCTTAGCACGCCTCTGGCCCGTTGGGCCGGCGAATTTTTAACGAAAGGAATGAATGATGATGATGATGATGATGATGCTGCTGCTGCTGCTGATGATGATGATGATGATGAGGAGGAGGAGGAGGAGGAGGAGGAGGGGGGTGGACGATACCAGAGGATGATGCGGACGGCGCAATGTGAGGATGCGCATGCGGATAGGGCAGAATGTGGATGATGATGATGTGCATGGTGCAGCCTGCGGTCGTGCATGAAGGGAGAGACTTTCCATTGGCACCCGCTCCTTGCGCCGCCCCTCGTCTTTCCCCTCTCAAGCTTCCCCAACCCGTCCCTTACCAGCATCAGATGTGAGATCCCCTCCCCCACATCCAGCTGCCTGCGGCAAGCCCTGCCACTGCACCATCGCAGCATGGAGGAGCAGGGTTAGGAGGAAGAAACGAAGGAGGACGACGACGAGAAGGCGAAGCGGCTTATGACCCGTTCCAGTTCAGTATCTTGTCCGAATTGGCGCGGGTCTTCAATATCATTTCTTTTTTCTTAGCCTCATTTTAATCCTTTACACCATCCTCTTCCCATTCATCTTCTCATCTTCCTCACAGCTCCCTCCGACCGAGTCTGTGAGGTTAATTTGAACCTTCTTTGGAGCTTCGTGTCTCGCCAGGGCCTCTTGGGTTCCTGTTTGGGGCCTGTTGGGGGCTTTCTGTGTCCGGCGGCCGTCTTGGAGTCGATGGTTCTACCGAGTTCTTCCGAAGCGGCCGCGCGGGACGCGTCCTCGGCGGTCTTGCAGTTCGTGAAGCGGCGCCCGGGAGTTCCGCCATCGCACAGGGGGGGGGGGGACGGGCTTCTGCTCTAGGCTTCCCAGATGGGGTCGGAGTCGAGTGGGTCGGAGGATCGGGCCGCGATGCCGATGCATCGGCGATGCGGTTTGATGCGGTTCGATACGAAGCCCGATTTTCTCCAAGCCAACGGCGCTGATGCATCGCCGACCTCACCGGTGCATCGCCGATGCATCAGCGATGCATCGGCGATGCAGCGCGATCCTCCGACACCATCTACTCGGACCCCATCTAGGAGGCCTCTACCTCTGTCTGTGAGGGTGCCTGCCAGGTATGTTTCCCCCAGGGATCCCCTGGGGTAGCCACGCGCGCGCGAACTAGTCATGTGAAAAAGCTACGAACCTAACTGGAGATTACAGTGCGCCTCTGGTTCACTGGGCCTTTGAAGTTCTTGCGCCTCCTAGAGCCTCGCAGGAGGCCTCATGTGGCGCCTCTTGGCCGCTTCGTGGGGCCCGTTGGGGCCCCCAGGAAACCTCTTGGGGCCCTTTGGGAATTTGCTGTCCTTTCTGGGAAGTCGCATTGGGTGTCTCTTTGGGCGCTCTTGGCCCGTCTCATAGGTTAGCAGTCTTCCAGGGATGGTCGCGACGAGGGGGTGACCGCCCCTCGAGAAGTACAGAAGTCTTGGCGGGCAGCTGATCAAGTTGCTCTGCCGCGCGATTCCACCACCGCGTTCGGGCGGGCGCGAGCGGGGGGCGCTTGCGGAGCGGGGTGCGGGGGGGCGGGGGGGCGGGAGGGCGCCAAGGGGAGATACAGTCGAAACCGATAGCAAGGATGGGCAACCCTCCCAAGGGTACCCTTGCATCCGTGCAACTTTGGTCCATCCTTGACTACTTTCGATGGCCCGCCGCGCTCGAGAAAGCTTCAACACGGGCGTCCACGGGGCCTGCATCTTTATCACGCATCCTTACTCTCAGTTTTGACTGTAGGTGCCATGGGCACCCCTGTCCTAGACCTTCGATGTTGGTACCACCTTCTGCCGGCAGGGCAGGGCAGAAACGCGGGTACATGGTCCAAGCAATATTCTCATAATGGGTTCATTGCGCCGGGGGTCCCTAATTACTGCTGCGCGAGACGCGAAGCTGACTATACAGTGCAAGGGCCCGACACATCCAGAGAGACACGCACATATTACTACACAGTGGACACATACACATACATAGATACATAACTACACATGAATGCACACATGAATGCTCACATGCACACACACCGCTGCAAGCTTGGTGGCGGATAGGCATGCTAACGCGCTCACGCGTTTTGAATGCACAATGGCAGATGCCTGCTCCTTGTGACTTTCTCCTCTGGCGCTAATGTGTCCCCAATCCTTTCCCGAGGCTCCTTTCCCAATGACCATGCTCCCCGTACCCCCTGTACCTCCCAGCACTCCCCTCTCTCACGTCCTCATCATCTTCCCGTTCTGCCCGCCTCCTCTTGCAAAGGACGATTGCGAGCAGAAGTGTGCGGACCTCGAAGCTTGCAGGCGGATTTGCCATGGCAGCTGCAAGTGAGAGCAGCCTCTCACTCACCTCCCCTTCCCATCGTTCCTCTCCCTCCGGTCTCCTGCCCATCTTATGTTTCCCTCCCATTTTGATGTGTTTTCCTTTCTCTCTCTTCCGCTTCCCCTTTCTTTCTTCTCAGCGCCTTCCACGTTTCTCCTCATTCTCCCCCTCATCCTCATCTGAGGCCATGTCCTGGAGGGGACCAGTGGGCCAGTGGTTCGCGTGAGAGACACGCTGCTCGACAAAGCTTGTGGCACACTGGCCGCGGCCATCTTTGGGGCCCCTCGACGTCGCAGTGGCCGCACCATGGAGTTCGTGGGATCCCGCTTGAGGTCGTTGCTGCCGCTTGATGCTGATCCCTGCTGCCCCTCCGGAACCCCTTGCGCTAGCCCTTGGTTCTCAGCTCATTCCAGGCGCGGGCCCAAACGAAGATCTTACTGAAAGCAAACCATGAGATGCACCTGCACAGAAACAACACATAATTTCAGATGGCCTGACACTCCTCCGCCGACGGGCTTGCGCCCATCGACTTTACATGTGGTTCGGCCCTTGTTCGGCAGCGCCAGCGGCATGAGATGCAACAGCGGCAGCGCGATGAAATCCCGAGAGACACCTCCCCTGAAGAGTTGACGAATTTACAAGCACACGCACTTTCCGAGGTCCGCGCGAGTTTCTGGGATCGGTGCCAGTGTCCCCTAGCAGCGCCTCCAGCGCCACCCTAGCGCGCTCTGCGCGCCAGGGTAGGGGAGTCCAGCGATCCGCGCAGACCTTCGAAAGCTTACGTATGTGCATTTAGTCGTTTGTTCTGCATGCCGTGAACAGCGTGCTGGGAGGTTGTTCCGATGGATGCCGACTGGGAAGTCGTAGGCTCTGTCTGCGGCCCGTGCGCCTGTCCTGGCAGAGCCTGGACGCAGGGGCGCCGTTGGCTGTGGGTTCAGGGTCGCCTCGCGTCAGGGTGGGGCTTGGGACCCTCCTCTTCCTCACCAGACCAGACCACGAGCTACCAGCCCTTCGGGCGGCTGAGCCAGCAGGCCTGCCCAGGGTTTGGGCGTCTCCCCGCTGCGGGTTGTGCGGCTCGGCGCTGGTGTCAGCAACCTCCGGATGCTGTGGGCATTGCTGCGCCGCTCGGCAACTCGGAGACGTGGAGAGTTTTGGTCGCGAACGGCCAGCATCTGTGCTGCGACGTGATTTTTTTTTGGGGGGGGCCTTCGAGTTCAGGGTGGCGTCGGCCTGCACCCTCGTGGTCACTCCGGCGGATTTGCACACACACGCACGTGCGATGTTATGTGATCTCGGCGGTTTCCTCCTCCGCCTGCTCCTCCTCCTTCCCCCCCTCTACCTCAATTTCTTCCTCGTGCTACTGCAGCTGCTCCTCCTAGCCTCGTCCCTTTCTGGAGGGCAGATTGCCCAGGGAAGATCACTGCACTGGCAGGCACATCTTTTCTTGGGGCATCGCCACGACAATGCTTTGGGAGGCAAGATAGGTTAAGCATCTTCGTGCCTCTGAATGGTTGTCCGCACTCCTCGACAGATGTGACAATTCAGTTTCGTATTCCCGATTGCTGCGGATCACCCTGTCTAGGAATAATGTTCTGAGGTGTTATGGGAAGCATCTACGGATGAGGTATGGTAATGAGGCCTGTCGACCGGAAGACTTGAGGCATAGGTGGAAGGGGAGAGGAGGGTGAGTCGGCGCAAAAGTGATCCCATTATTGAATCGCTTCGCTCATTCCGCCGGCCCGTATTGTGCCATCGCGGGGTTTTGGGGGGTCTTGGGGGCCTTTGGAAGCTTCGTGGGAGCTTCTTGGGAACTTTGGGAGGCCTCGTGGATGGCTCTGGGTGGGCCCTCTTGGTGGTCTCTTGGGGGGGTCTGCCTGGCCTCTTGGGGGCCTCCTGGGAGCTTCCTGGGGGTCTCTTGGGGGCCTCTTGGGGCTTTCTTGCGGCCTGTTGGGGGCCTCTTGGGGCTCTCTTGGGGGCTTCGTGGGGCTACTTGGGGGCTTGTAGGGGCATTTCGGGGGCGTGTTTGGGCGGGAGGCTCAAAATTTCCGTTCAGGTTGCCCCTGTGGACCTCAATCATGGGGCCGTCTTGGGGCCTCTTGGACCGTCTTGAGGGTTTCTTGGGCCTTCTTGGAGCGCTGTTGGGCCGTCTTTGAGCGGTCTTGAGGGTCTCTCGGGCCGTATTGGGGTGATCTTGGGGGCCTCTTGGACCGCCTTGAAAGGTGTGAAAGACGAAGAGGCGGATATGTTAAAAATGCACGCTTTCCTAAGGGCACGAGACGATTTTTGCTTGTGGGAGCCCTCTTGGGACGCCGCTTAGGGACCTCTTGGGGCGTCTTGAAGGCCTGTTGGGCCGTCTTGAGGCCATCGTAGGCGTTTGGGGGTGATATTTCGGCGTCTCCCGGCTCTCTTGGACCGTCTGGAGGGCTTCTCGGGCCCCTCTTGGACCGATTTGGAGCCCTCCTGGGCTCCGAAAAATAGTTCTTGAGGGTTTCTTGGGCCTTCTTGGAGCGCTCTTGGGCCGTCTTTGAGCGGTCTAGAGGGTCTCTCGGGCCGTCTTGGGGTGATCTTGGAGGCCTCTTGGACCGCCTTGAAAGGTGTGAAAGACGAAGAGGCGGATATGTCAAAAATGCACGTTTTCCCAAGGGAATGCGACGATTTTTGCTTGTGGGAGCCCTCTTGGGACGCCAGTTAAGGACCTCTTAGGGACCTCTTGGGGCGTCTTGAAGGCCTGTTGGGCCGTCTTGAGGCCATCGTAGGCGTTTGGGAGTGATATTTCGGCGTCTCCCGGCTCTCTTGGACCGTCTGGAGGGCTTCTCGGGCCCCTCTTGGACCGATTTGGAGCCCTCCTGGGCTCCGAAAAAGAGTTCTTGAGGGTTTCTTGGGCCTTCTTGGAGCGCTCTTGGGCCGTCTTTGAGCGGTCTAGAGGGTCTCTCGGGCCGTCTTGGGGTGATCTTGGAGGCCTCTTGGACCGCCTTGAAAGATGTGAAAGACGAAGAGGCGGATATGTCAAAAATGCACGTTTGCCTAAGGGAATGGGACGATTTTTGCTTGTGGGAGCCCTCTTGGGGCGCCGCGTCTTGAAGGCCTGTTGGGCCGTCTTGAGGCCATCGCAGGCGTTTTGGAGTGATATTTCGGCGTCTCCCGGCACTCTTGGACCGTCTGGAGGGCTTGCCGGGACCCTGCCGGGACCTTGCCGGGACCTTGCCGGGACCTTGCCGCGACCTTGCCAGGACCTTGCCGGGACCTTGCCGGGACCTTGCGGGGACCTTGCCGGGACCTTGCCAGGACCTTGCCGCGACCTTGCCAGGACCTTGCCGGGGTACTCTTCGTCCGGGGACCCCCAGGGCCCGCCCCGCGCGCGCGAACTAGAAATATTGTTGAGCAGTTACCGGAGATCTTAGCACGCCTCTGGCCCGTTGGGCCGGCGAATTTCATTACTCTGGTATATCCCGCGCGGGGGCGACGGGGAAATCGCTAGGAGTTGAGCATCAGCAAACATTTCCAGGTCAGATCTGGTGAGCCGCACTGTGATTCTTACTATCATGCAGTGCGGATTGCCCACCAGGTGCCAACATGTTCGTCTCCTGCCCATCATCGTCACGTCTGGCATCTCTGCCCTTCGCTCTCAGCACTTCGTACATCCGTTAATCGACATCTGTTCGGCTCACGCGCTTTCACGTATTCTGCGACATGGCCTCGTCGCCGCGGAGGTTTATCAGTCTCTCGAGCAACAATTTGTGCCGCCTGACTGCGACGTGCGATTCGACGTGGCATCAGGCAGGCCACGTCTCCCTCCTGCATTATTATGGTCTCTTCTCTGCTGAATTACTTTCTTCAACATCCTCTTCACATCTGTCTTTCTCTCCCTCTCTCTTTCTATCTTATCTCTCTCGCTCTCTCGTTTTCTCGTTCGTTCTAGTTTCTCGATGTGTGTATATACATATATATATAGAGAGAGAGAGAGAGAGAGAGAGAGAGAGAGCGAGAGCTATGTCTTCCTCTCTCTCTCTCTACCAGTGTGTGCATTCCTCGTGGGCCGTCCTCCGGGACGTTCTCGGCGCTCGCCTCGCCTCACCTCGCTTCTCTATCCCCCTCCCGCTCCCACTGGTCCGTCCTGAGCTTCTGCGATCGCGGTCAAGCAGCAACACAAAGAGGAATAAGCAGTGGGCTGCTGAGTACGTTGATATTCGGACCCTCTCAAATATGATTCGCCTGAGGAGTGCGACTACATGGGACTAAGACTGCCATTTGTGATGCCAAGTAGGTACCATCCAAACGTATTCCAGGATTTCGAATACTTCCGCACGAGTGATGATTTTTCAGTGCCATTGCCGTTGTCTCCATGCATTGTCCTGCCTCGATGCTCGAGCGTCCCTCGAGCATCGAGGAGCGAGGCGCCTGGACGTCGCTGGCAAGGTTTTGCACGTGTTTGGCCCTTGTCTGCCCTTCGGGGCCTCCGGAAGGGATCAGGATCAGGGGCGGAAGCAGGACTTACCGCACGACGACGCGGGCCAACGCCATTCTGAGTGTGACGCAGCAGCCCCTCCCCTCCTCCCTGCCTCCTCCCCTCCGCTTCCCCTCCTTCCTCTGTCCCCTCTCGTCGCAGCTTGCGCTGCAGCGGAGCGGCGGACGCACTCCTGGGTGGTACTTGTCTCTCTCTCTCTCTCTCTCTCTCTACGTTTCCTCCTCCTCCTCCTCCTCCTCCTCCTGCTCCTCCACGGGTGCCGTCTCCTTCCTTTTCCTGGCATTGCGCCCAGGGAGGCGAGCGCAGGCCGTCCGCCCTTGGCGGCTGGTCCTGTTCCCCTCTGGGGGGCGGTTCGACTGGCTGCTGAGCGGTTGCGGTGGTGCTGCGGCATGGGTCCCGCCTGTGTCGTGGCACTCCCGTTCGGGGTTGCGTTCGTCTCCCTCTCCCTCCCCTCCCCTTCCCCCCGCACGACCCCTTGTGCTTGGTCAATCGTGTCCAACATGTCCTTCCTTCTCCCCCTCCCTGCCATTTCTGTGCAGCGTCCCGGCCTGTTCTGCCATCCTTGTCTGGTCGCATTGCTTCCCCTGGGGACGTAGCTAGCCCTGGAACCCGCCCTATCTCTTCCCTCTCTTCTCCCCTCCTTAAAGCTTCGGCGTGTGCTCGGTTTTTGTGACCCTTCTGTCGGTCCTTCGGTCATTGGTGCTCCCTCTGTCCTATGACGTACCGCTTTCTTTCTCGGACGCCATTCCATGTCCCATTCTCCCGTCCTTTTCGATCACTTCCCCTCTATCCTTTTCTCGTCCTTTTCTCATTCCCTCCGTGTCTCCTCGCTCCCTCCTCGACGACTGTCCGGAGTTAGTAGCGATGGCACATGTAATCTTGCTCGAGCGTTGCTTTTCGCAAACCATTCGTGCGCAAGGAGGTGGATCCATTCATGGCGTTGTGCGCACACGGCATGGAAATTGCCTCGAGGACCTCTCTGTCCTCTCCATTTCCCTCCTCTTCCTGTCGCTCTGCCTCATCCTCAATTGTGCCAGTAGCTTGCAGCATCTTGTCCACGACAGCCGCTGATATGCTTGGCCTGACCACTCTGAATGGCCAGCACACTCCGACTCATCCCTGACGAGTGGGGATGTTTGCCTGGAAGCCCTCCTCCCTCCCCTCTGCCCCCCCTGCGCGCAGGATGGCAAGAAGGTTTGGATCTTCAGCAGAAGCCGGCCCGCCCTCGTAGAGGAGCGCAGTGCCGCCGGCGGGCTGAAGGCGGAGGTGGAGGGGGAGTGGGAGGGGGAGTGGGAGCAAGGGGGGAAGGGGGAGAGGGGGGGCGAGAAAAGGGGGCATGGGGCGTGGGGAGGGGGGGAGGAGAGAGGGAACTGACGGGGATGAGGGGGGAATGAGCAGGAGGAGGAGGGGAAATGCCAGTAGGAGGAGGAGGAGCAGAAGGATGAGGAGGAGGAGGCCGAGGAAGCGGAGGAGGCGGAGGTCTAGGGCGATGACCAGTCAGAGCCAGAAGTCGGAGTCAGAAGGGCAGGTGGAGGTGGCGAAGGACCTAGAGCAAGAGGGGGAGGAGGGAGCCCGTTTGGTGCTACTGACGCCTCGCATGCCTTTTGGGTCTTGTCCGAGTGCAGGGAGTAGCAGGGGTAGGCGGGGGAGGGCACGGAGGACGGGGGCGAGGGGCGAGGACGGAGGACCAGCATTTAGCTACGATGATGTCGCGGGTTCGGCAACCCCTCAGCCGACATGGCTGACTCACCCTGAGTGGCCAGCTGTCTGAGAGCTTGGTGGTGTCATTGGGCCAGGGGGATCGGGAGATCGGACGCTTGAAAACCACAGGTGAACGCTTAGCCCTCTCTCTGTATGTTGACAGTTGACAGCACCAACAAGTCGGGAGGCTGCTCTGGTGTTCTTCGGTTCTCGCTTAGAGACAGACTGAAGACCCCTGGCTCAGAGTTTAGCACCTGGAGCCGCAGTCTTCACAGGGGATTGCACCATCGAAGACGCCTACGGCGAATCACCGCTTCGTCATGCCTTTTGTAATGCCCACGCGGCCCAAACGTTGGCTCGAAGTCTGGCTAAGCTATTCGACCATGTGTTCCTCTATCTTATCCGTTGTGGAGCCTCTTGGGGGAACACTTGGGAGAGGAAGAGGAAGGAGGAGGACGAGGAGGACGAGGAGGAGGAGGAAGAGGAGGCCTCTTGAGGCACTCTTGGGGCCTCCTGGGGGCTTCCTGGGAGCATCTTGGGGGCTTCTGAGAGGCCTCTTGAATGCCTGGTGTGTCTTCGGGGCCTCTGGGGGCCTCCACGGGACTTCTTGACGACCCTCGGAGGCCGTCTTGCGGCTCTCTCTCTCTCTCTCTCTCTGGGCAGTCGAGGGTCCTTCTGGATCGCGTCAAGGGTTGCCAAATAAGCGACCTTTCCCTGTCGTGACGCGTCACGAAGGCCCCAGAGGCGAAGGCGCGGGGCCAGGGCGCGCCATCGATCCCCACGGTGAGGCCGTCGCTAATAATCCGATGGCGGCGTGAGACAATGCCGAGCTGAGGTGAGCCGCACTGGTGCGGGAACCGACTCGGAAGCGCAGTCCGACGACCACGCGAGGGCGCGGCAGCGCGCGGGGGGGGATGCGTGGTTGGGCGCATCGGCAGAGCCGACGAAGAGCCGGAGAGGACCGGGAGGAGGGCAAGAGCGACGTGCTTTGGGACCCCAGGCGCGCCATCGATCCTTATGGCGAGACCGATCGCATGGATCGATGGCGGCGTGAAGTGTGAGCAGAATGGAATGAGTCGAGGCTAGAGGCCGCGCGGCAGGGGTTGCCGCCAATCATCGTTGTTTCGGGACCAGGAACGTGTCCACTATACCATGTCATGTTTGCCAACCTTTCAGTGACAAATGCCGGCCCAAACATAGTGCATATATTTGTTCAACAGCAGTCGCCTGGAGAACCGGCTGGAAAATTATACATCATACGTTGTCTTGTTGTGTTTGTGCGAAGCCCCATGGGGCAGGGCCTGATGCCTTAGTGTATATACGCGCGGTTCCCGTTGATCGATGGGCCACGGAGGAAGCGGAATTGGCAAGTCACGCCCCCCGAGAGCGCGGGCGCACAGGCGGGGGCTGAGGCAGAGGCGCCTCGCGAGCACGGCGGGTTGGGGTGGAGAGGCCGTCTCTACCGATCGGGCGGGCGCGCGAAACAGCGGCGCCGCGAGGCCGCAGCCGCGGGCTGGGTGGTGGGGATGGGGCGGAGTCCGCGCGCCGGGGCGCCGACGATCGGGCAGGGCCGGCGGGGCAAAAGGGGGAGAGCGGCGCTTTCGCCCGAGACCAGCACTGGCACGTCACCACCCACCAAATCACCCCGACCAAACCCGAAGGCTCAGAGTTACCCTGGATTTCTAGTGGGGGGGGGGGTCCGGGAACATCGAAAAAACACGTATGGAGCCCATACCCCCCCAACCCGAACTTCGGGCCTTCGGGTTGGGTTGGGGTGGTCTGGTAGGCAGTCAGCACGAGCGCGCCAGCGTCGGGAGGAGGGGCCCCGGAGGTGCCGGAGCGCCGGGCGCGTGGCGACCAGGAGTCGACCGTCGCCACTCTTGCATCTTGCATACCTCCCTCCCCCTCTTCCCCCTCGCCCGCCCTCACCTGTCTCTCCACCCCCCCCGTCCCCATGCCCCCCCGCTCTCACCCCCCTCGCCCGCCACAGCCGGCGGAGGCGACGCCATCGCCGACGGAGGCGCAGACGGATGCGGTGAACACGACGGAGGCACCGACGTTCGCGCATGCTCCTATGGGTCAACTGCGCGGTGTTTTTTGTTGTTCGGAGTAGGGAGGGGGAGGAGACGGTGGAGAGGGAGGAGACGGTGGAGAATGAGGAGGAGGCGGAGGAGGAAGTGGCAGCGGGGAGTGGCACGGACAGGATGGGGGAGGGAAGTGTCAAAGGCGGCATGGAATGGATCGGGGACGGGAGGGGAGGAGGACGGTGCGAATCTCTGGCCGCTCCCCAGCGGATACCCGACCGACTGGAAATTTCTGGAAATTTGTTATTCGTCTCACAACCCCACGCCGTTGTCAGGACCGTCACGCGTGAACAACGACCTGCATCTTCTCTGTCTTCGTACGCATACGTGCTGACTCAAGACGCTACCTGCGTGCACCGAACAGATGTCTGGGATTTGCACGCAAAGGGAATATGTGACGGTCATGGCAGCAGCGTGGGCTTGTGAAACAAATCAATGTGTTCCATCTCGCAGCCGAGCCCAAAGCCCTGACCATTCATCAAGGGAGGAACAAGTACCCCGATCCCCATACTTGGCGTTTACCAAACGGCCCTGGACGTTTACTAAATAGCACTGCCCTGTTCGATGCCTTATTTGGGCGCGTTTGCTAAGCGGCTTTGTTTGTCGAGGTGTTCATTCTGAGGATTGCGAAGGCCTTACGGCCGGTGCCGCCGACCCTGAATGGCGACGACGACGACGACGACGACGACGACGACGACGACGACGACGACGACGATCGCTCTTGGGGGCCTCTTGGGGGTAGTTTGTGGGCCTCTTGGGAAGCTCTCAGGGGCCGCTTGGAAGCCTCGTGGGGGCCTCTTGGGGCTTCCTGGGGGTCTCTTGGAGGGGGCCTGGGACGTCTTGTAGGCTTCTTGGACGGTCTTGGGGCTATCGTGGGCGTTTTCGGCCGATCTTTGGGCGACTCGGGGCCCTCTTGGGCCGTCTCGGGGGCCATCTTGGGCATTCGGACCTCATTTGGAGTGTTTTCGAGGTTTCTAGGCCGCCCGAGGGAAAACGAATCTGCCCCCCCACCCCCCCCGGGACACCCCCCGGCCCGGGACCCCCCCCGGGACCCCCCCGGACCCCCCCCCCTGGGGAAGGGATCGAAGGGAAGGGGCTTCCCTTCGACTCGATTACGACACTGCTAGATTTTTCTCTCGCTCACGAGCTTGAGAAGGAAGCTGCAGGGAAAGGGGACGACGGAGGCGACGACCGACGGAGACGACGACTCGAACAGCCAAGCCCCTCGCACACGCCGACAGGGTCGGCGGATTTCAATTCTGCTTTTGATGCAGGGGTTCCAAATAGCTGGCTAGCAAAATTACAATCCAAGCATCGGCACGTCCATGCAGGCTTTTCTGACACGTACCTCTGGCAGAGCTCAGTCTGCACAAGATGCTTACGCAAGGCTGCTGCTTTCGAAGATTCGCTCATTCACTCGTGCCATACGCGCGGTGACGCTGGCGCCACCTGCCAGTACCGCAAGGCTCGTGATATGCCAGCTGGCGGACGCAAGGCCGCGAATTGAACGGCACGAGCGCGTAGGCGTTCGCGATGCCCGTCCATGCTACTGCGTCCCGCAAGGCCACAAGGCGGTGTCCCAAGGAGGGCGGTGTCAGCCACCCCTCCTGGAAATTGGAAGCAGCCGCCAGCCCGGCCTGGCCGAGCGGGTCGTGCCGCGTCGACGGTGTCAGGCTGCTGTGCGCCACTCTCTGAGGGGGTAGGCGGGAGCTCTTTCTCTCTCTCCCTCCGTCCGGCCATCATACCCGCATTTCCGTCTCATCTTCGAGATTAGCGACGATGTCCGGTTCCCGGTCAACTCCTGAGACGGCCAGCAGGAGATCGTGTCTCGTGCGCCCCCTTTGGCCCAACGCCCCCCGCCATCCTCCCATGCATCATCGAAGCCGTCGACGATTTCGAGCTCGTACGCATTCTCTAAGGGGGCCAGCGGGAGTTCCTACCATTCTGCTTCTGCGTTAAAATATCATCATCCCGTTCCTCCCTCTCTTCCTCTCCGTCCTGCTGGTCCTCACCTTCCCACTTCCTCATCCACCCCCTCCTGCTCCCTCATCTCTCTCCCTGCTCTCTCCTCTCTCCTCTCTCCCCCGATGTCGCTACCCTTGTGGTTATCCTTCCGTTGCCTCCTCATCCTCTCATTGATCATCGGTTATCCCTTCTTCTCTTCCGTCCCCTCCCATTTGGTGATTGGCAACAGAGGATGCAGCCCATTCAAGATCATGCCCATTCCCTGGATCGTGAGGTCGTTTATGTGCCAGTCGGTCTTGCGGTTGACGGTTGAAACACACGTTCCAGGATCGGCATTGAGTTCTTGACTTCACAGCCCCCTAGCTAGTCGTCATCTTAATTCGCACGGGTATAATATCGATGCGGAATCAAAGGAGTTCAAGACGGTGAACCACCAGTCGACGGGCAGTTACGCTGTACATCCACGATCTGTGCGTTGCGCGTAATCCCCCGATTGCCTTGTCCTGAGCCTTTCCAGTGGATGATCTGCTCCTTCGTGGCATCACCCTCGGCCCACAGGACAACGCCAGCAACACCACCGAGGCTTCTCAGGCGTCGTGGTTGCTTGCATCATGGCGCGTGTATTCGAGGAGCAGCAGCAGTGGCAGCAGTAAGAGGGGACACGGAGGACCAGAGGATGCAGAAGGAGTGAGAGGGGAGGGCGGGTCATTTGGGAAGGAGCAGGAGCAGCAGCGGGGGAAGAATAAGAGGAGAAGGAGAGGGAGCTTGGAGAAGGAGCTTGAAGTGACATGGCTCACGTAGGAGCGCCTCAGCCCCGTTGGTGAGGCCAGAGGCCTGGTTCACAACCAGGGTGTGCCACTCGAGGGCAGGACAACGATGTAACAAAACGGTGGAGTTGCTGGACAGCTTATATTATATAAGCGGCGTCGGGGGCTCCGCGGCCCAGGGCCGCACACTTTCCCAACCCCCCCCTCCCCCGCGTAACCGAATTTGCCCCTAGGCTGCGGGGGCCTTTTTTGGCATCCGGGGGCCCGTTTTCGGAGTCCCGGAACTTTTCCGCGTCCCCGAGGCGTCCACCTAGGCTTCTGGAGACGGCAAGAAGCCGCCAAGACGGCCCAAGAGCACTCCAAGCCGCCCAAGACGGCCCCATGATCGGCCCAAGAGGCCCCCAATATGCCCCAAGGTCGCTCCGCGAGGACCTCCAAGAGAGCTCCATGCCTGTCCACCAACAGGGGTAGGCATCTTGATTTCAGGCACGAGGAGCGGATGCCCATGCTTGTCCATCGACAGCGAGAGGCATCCAGGCCAACATGGTGCCTACTGAACGCCACCAATCGCGAACTTGCCGCGCCCGCGACGGCAATATGGCCGACTCACGGCCACCGAAGCGGGCCAGCGTTCACGGACGCCCATCAAAGGCGCAGTTCGAGGGCGGGATGCCCATGCTTGTTCACGGACGGGCCGCTTGCACTAAGCAGATTGTTGTGGCTCCCTCTGGGGGTCCTCTTGGACTCCCGACCTGGGTTTCCGTTGTGCCCCTATCCCCTCTGGCATTTCATTTTTTCGACGACCCCCTCGGGCAGTTTTTCGACGCCTCTTTGAGGCTCCTGGGGGGATTTCTTCATGAAATCCACTACAACCCTAAAGCAAGTTGCACGATGCTTTTTTTTTGCAAGGCCTTGGGGGTCCGTCCGGAGCTGTTGTACAAGATGGCGTTCGATCTGGTGCGATCCTCCAGGGTTTTCCTTGGAGCCAGGGGGACTCCTAAATCGCGCCCTGGACACCTTGTCACGGAATGGGTGCGTCATGGGGGGTTGGTTACGGAGGATGAGGAGGCGGAATGAGGAGGGAGGGAGGCAGGTTGTTGGACGGAGGGAGAGGGAGGGAAGTAGGAGGCAGGAGAGACAGTCGCGAGGGAGAGGAAGTATGGAGGATAAGGACGCGAGGAAGAGGGAGGAGAAGAAGAGGAGGAGGAATCAGATGAGGGGGGCATGGAGGGTGCGGAGGAGGATGAGGAGTTGCAGAGGGGGGCTCCGTAGACAGGGAGCAAGGGATAGGGTTGAGGTGGAGATGCAAGATACAAAAGGGAAGAGGAGAGGAAGGATGGATTGGAAGGGCGAACACCCTGGAGTGAAGGAGGGAGGCGGGAGGGAGGTGGGGACGTGGGAGATGGAGGAGGACGATAAGCAGGAAGAGGAAGGGTGGATCTTGCATGTTTCCTGTCGGCACAAAACTATTGCTGACAGACTAGGACGTTGGCTTGGCTTTAGGTGGAAGGTGACGGTGATTTTACGCACGCGCCGTTTCAACACAGGGTAGAAGCTAGTAGTTGCATGGTGCAAAGCGCAGCTACTGTCTTTCATTCAGTACCGGACGGCAGCGATTAATGTTGCGTGTGATTCAGCGTTTTTTGTTTTGGACCGCCTACCCTACAGCATGATCGGCACGATGCCGCGGGCGCCACTCTTGCTGAGGTCCTGGGAAATTTCAACCGTGCACCCGGTGTATTAGCGTCCTGGGAGCAATGTGCACCATCGTCTTGGGCAGAGGGTCGCAGCGTTTGCGGAGGTTCGTCAAGCTGAACGGTGAGGCCACGAGGGCGTTGAGCGGGAAACACTGTCTGCAAGCAGTGGAGTACGAGGATGGGCATTGTACTTATGTCGCTTTAATTGCAGCGTTTTCGCCCGTCCACTTATTTCCAACACTCTGTTGTGGTGTTGGTTTCGATTTTTATTCGCTGCCTGCCAGCATCGTCGAGGAGTCCAGTATCGATTCCTTCTTTCAGAGCGGATTGCAAGCTGTTCCCTGGCACGGCGCCCGAAGTTGGGACCCAGAGCCAGTGAGGCGATCGAATCCGCGTGTGTTTTGGCACACTGTCCCTCTAGGCAAGGACGCGCTGTGATTTGCCACCGAGCGTGATGTTACCGCTGTAGCAAAGGAATGAGGCGGGATGGCGGCCTGCTGGGCGGTCGGAGCTGTCAGGAGGCAGG